AGGATGGCCCGCAGCCAGCAGATGCTAGGAGAGCATCCTAACACGGATTCCCCCCCGAGTTTCTGGAAGGAATTACCTGTGCTATCACCTGGATTCTAGACTTCTAGCTCCCAAGTATACGAATCCATTTCTGCCATGAATGCCACCCAATGAGTATTTTGTCCCATTAACCCTAGGAAACAAACACTTTGCCTACTACAGTTCTCAGGAGGAAAATGCCAGTGAACAGTCAACAAACCAGGTCAACTGCTCTGCAGTTGTGACGGCAGGTTTGGTCTGCTGTACGTGGGTTTTGATAGAGGAATTTAAAAATGGTCTAACACCCTTCTGCGGGGATCTCTAAGGTAACAGTCTATCTCCCACGGTGGATGACGTCAGTATAATGAGAATCAGAAAGCAGTAGGTAGAGGATATGATGAAAGGCTGCTTCCAGTCTTTGGACTCAAAAGCTCACTGGTGGAAAAGAAATACACTTGCCTATGTTTGTCATTGGAAGAATGGCAGGTGTATGCAGAACGAATGTGAAAAATGAGCACACTTGGCATACACTAAGGAGCAAAGGCAGAGAGGAATGTTGGACAGACCCTTCCAGAGTGCGTGCGGCGTGTGTGTCTTCTACTGCAAGTGTCGCTCGTTGTGCGCTTGACATGTGTGCCCACTAAAGTAATGAGCAGAAATGTCCACGTGCGAGGCCAGCTCAGCTGGTGTTTTACCCACGTCCGCATAAACATCACAACTGTCTCACACTCCCACTTGTTTACCACTTGCTTCTCCTGAATGGAGATACGGTCTGCTCCTCCCTCGCAGTGTGTTTATAATCGCCATGACACTGTAACGTTCTCCAGTGTGTCACAGAAACACAAGACAGAAGAATATGAATGCAAACATAGGAAAAAAAAATGCCCTCAGGTGGTTGTTAATTGTGGGCGCTGTGTAATTAAACTAGTTTTTTAAATGTTATCTTTTGCCAGGATCTAATTAGCAAAGCCATCTGCTGAAAGACTAGTGCCCATCTGCCTGGAATGTTGTTCTCTTCATTTTTATGAAAAGTGCCTGCCTTCGCCGGTCCCTGTCTAATTAACTTCTCTCGCTGCAGAATGTGATAACGCACAGCTTTGTTTGTATACTTCTGAGAACTGTGGATTTATGTGTGCGGAACATGTACATAAAAAGAGCCAATCTCTTTTTTTCCTTCCTGCATCCGATTGGCCCCTGAGATCGCGGCTCCATTTTTCATGTCTGGAACGTGTGCGTGTGTTGAACGGTGAGGTATGTGCTATATCATGAAGGGGTGAGGACCTCCTAGCTTCCCCAGGGTTTGTGCAGATGTAAAGTGTTTTTCTCAAAGCCTACTCAGCTTCTTTTCCGGTCTGTTTGTAGCTCCGTCCCCTCTGAAAGTTGATCATGTTCTAAGTCCGAATGCAGCACTGGGTCTGAGCTGAACCCGTGTGTGGCAGCTGTAACAATGAAAATGAGCACTGCTCATTCTCCGATTTAACATGGTGCCGTGGAGGCTGATGGAATACACGTACGTTTTGTTGTAAATTCAAGTCTGATATGTGCTGATATTATCTAGAAGTCTGTTTTTCCTTCCGTCAGTCATTATCTACTAGAGTGTATTAAATGAAGGAGAGTGAGTGCATGTACACAGATAAAACTCCAGCTTGTTAAGCAGCACAGATGCCAACTTGTATGAGTTTACAGAACAGAACAGCGTCTCCAACAGGGATCACCGTGTCTTTTAAAAGGTAAACATGGGCCTAGCATTTGGCCTAGAGGATAAGATTCGCATTCCACACTGGAGTACCCAGGTTCAAGACCTGGCTCCGGCTTCCGCATCCAGCTTCGTCCAAACGCAGACCCTCAGATGAAGCAGGAAGGGGTCAAATACTTGGATCCCTGCCACCCCCGTGGGAGACTCGGGTGGACGCTGCAGGCATTTAGGAATGAACCAGTGGCTAGGAGCTCCCTCTGTCTCTCTCTGTCTCTTTGCCTCTCAACAATAACAAATTTTAATTTAATGTAAAGGCTTCAAACTCATTGCCTACACTGCTGGTAGACTTTGAAAAATTCATGGAAAAGTTTGTGGAAGATGAAATTAAAGGACAGATTTATTTTGGTGCAGAAAATTTTGAAATTTAAATATATATTTTTAATAATACATCTCCCATGAACTTCTGGAAAGCCCCTCTGCTACAGTCTTTGAATATGCAGCACACCCACGTTATTACTGCCATGCACCTGCTGCTGAAACACAAATGAGGATTACACACGGAACGGAATAGAGAATTTATATTCCTTTCCTCTCAGGCTATTATGCAATACAAAAAGACAAATACCAGGCATGTCTTGAAAGAAGACCATAAGATTTGTATAGATAACTGGAATGTAGAATGGCTGAGCATTCGTTTTGATTGGTTTAAATATAAATTTGGTTAAGTAGAAAAGTATCATAAATTTGAACACAAGTAGAGAGGGGGCTTCTCAAATCAATAGTAAGATTTATTCCAAATTCAAGTGGCATGAGAAAATAAAATCTTCATTGAGAATAGAACAAAAAGGCTTAAAAGGTATTTAATTTGTTAGAATGGATCTAATGGAAGGAAGGAAGGAAGTTATGACCAGGATAAAATACGACCTGAGTTCCAACAGAAGAATTGGTAACTTTGAGAAACAGATATAATTCAGGAAAGTTCCGGTCATGCATGGATTTGTCTCCTGTATAAATGAGTTTATTTTACCCACAGCTACCACATGATTCAGTGGACAAATTCTAGTTTAGTGAGTGAACAAAGACCCTGGGAATTATCTGGAGTGCTCAGTTCTAGTGTAATCTGGAAACGTCACCACTCCCCTTGCCCACTTGTTTTCAGATGCAGTGATACCTGATCCACTGTCGTCCCGTGATCTTCTCCTCCGTTCAGGTAGACAGCGATTCAGTCAGGGTTTTTACTTCTGGTTTGAATACCATTGGCATGCTGGTGATACTGTAACATTTCTACTTTTAGTAACTGTCTCCAGAAAAATCCATCAGACTTTTCTGATATCTTGTAGCCCTAATAAACTTGTGTGGGCGGTTCTGTTTTGGTGTCCTGGATAAAGCGATTAAGTTCTGAAAAGTCATTCTTTTTGCAGTTACTTTTCCCTTCTAATCCTTGATCAATATTTGTCTTGAAAATGCAAAAGCTGCTTAAGATTTAGGTGGGCTTGTGAAGCTGGCTTGTTAGCTGTTTTGTTAGCAGGATCTGAACAGTTTTGATGGCTTTTGATAATTATTTCTTTCCCTTAACCCTGGCACTAACCTCCGCCCTATTTCTCCTGCTAACTGAAGAGAGCATCCGGTTTAACGCTTAACAAAATCACCACACCAACAAGAGCCCAAGTATTCCATTGTATAGTTTTTCTCCTTATTACATAACATTAATTCCTCTCTGTAATAAATAACACCAAATCCCCCTCTTACTATGAGGGCCTTTAAGAACTTTAGGAAGTTCATGTGTATTTTCTAGGAGGTTTAGAAAGACAGACTCCTCATGTAAAACACTAAGCCTCTGGTTAAAAAAAACAAAAATATCAAAGTTAGGATATGTGTACTCTGCTAAAATACTAGGACATTGTGTATCAACCCAGTCTTATGTAAAAAGACAGGTATCTCTAGACCAAAAACAACCGAGTGAGCTTGCCTGGAAATACCTAAGCCTGAAATACACTACAGGTCAAACAGTGAACTGCAGTCACCTTGTTTTCATTGTTTTCATTGTGCGTCGCAGGCCTATAGCGTTCTGTGGTCCTGCGTTAGGCTCTCCCCTCTTCTTGGCGCATGCCGTTGCTTTCCCTGGAAGTGTTTGCCATGCTGGAGTGAGATCCGGCTCAGCGTCTACGTCAGAGGCCGAATTGCTGTGACTTTATCGTTGCCATCAAACATGATGAACAGGAAGACTCCTCTTCTCAGCTGTGGACCCTGCAGCCGCTCTGCATCTCCACAGGGGAGACAGTGTGAGTGTGGATCCCGGAGGAGTCCTAGGCACAGTCATATCCTTCTAGGCTCACACTTGGCAACTAGAAGTTCTTCAGGAAGCAGTGTTCTAGGACTTCGTCTCGGCTCTAGCATTCCTTGCAGGACAGAAGATAGTGGATAGTGCTGTCGGCCTGACTTGTTCATTCTCATGTCTAGGAGAATCAGGAAAATTTGTCTCCCCGGCCCTCAGAGGAAAGCAGTTACGCTCCTTCAAGTTATTTGACTTCCTCTATTTTTGGTTTCAGTTTTGTTCATTTTATTATTTGACATTAGCCCGAATTAACCAAAATAATGCGCCTCATTCAGATGTTTTTCAGATAATGATTTGACCGGTGTACATCCTGGATTCCTCAGAAATCCAATTCTAAGAGTGAGATAGAAAATGGTTGTAAGAACAGTTGAGGAAATGGAAAAATACCTTTACCCTGTGCAAGTCCACTCCCACTGAGATGCTTAAACTTGTTTATGAAATGGAGCTGCCCTTTCTAAGAAGGAAGCTTATTTCCTTAACTAAGCCTTAACTCTGGCTCTGTTTGGTCAGAGCCGAGAGAATATAAAGAGTGCGGGGTTTGGAGGAGATCGGGATCCTGTTTGTCTAGTTGTCGTGGCTGTATGCATGTTGATAGGGTGTGTATGGCAAGTCCTCCTCACTTCCACGCTGTGAACCTGGATAAGTGGCGTATATTGAAGTGAACTGTGAAGGTTGCAGTGAATGTTCAACCCACTTTGATTGAAGCCCCCTCTGGATGTATCCTGTGGCTTTGTGGCCCCCACGGTTCCCAGTCATTCAGAATGCCTCGATTTTAAAGCTGAATACAAGTGTCAGACTGACTTTTAGGTATTGGTATTAATTCTGTTGCTATGGAAACGCTGATGCCAGGATGCGCCATGTTTGCTAACCTGACGGCTGGTGCCTTGCTCTCCCATCCTGTTGATTGAATCGAAGCCTCCGTAACGGTTGCTGTTCTGGTGTTTTCTGCAGGCCGTGGAGTGGGAGTGTGACGAAGCTACCAGGAAGGCCTGTTACAGCAAGGGCAAGTCGCAGGTAAGGAGGGCCCAGTCCTGAGCCATCAGCACCTTGCCTTGGACCTAAGACAGTCCTGGGGCGGGAGGAGATTCCCTGATGCTCTGTCTAGTGGAAAATGCAAGTTTCAAAATGCGCATACGGTGATTCCTCCAGTTTCAGTGTTACATTAAAATGAACAGAGCAGTGAATCATTGTTCAGCTTCAGAACATAAAGACAATCAGGTCTAATTTGCACTTTCAGTCATTAGACAAAGATGTGAAATTAATTGACTATGATATCATTTGAAAAAGTATGGGCTTGAATTTAAAAGTTGCCTTTTAATTTCCCTCTTTCAGACTTTATAGCTGGCTCCAGAATGTAACCACATACTGAATAAAATATCACATCAACAGTAGTTGGAGATTCACTCTCGATGGTTTATCTCAACGTACAATTATCATTCACTCTCCCTCTTGCCAAATCCACGTCTGCATGACCCTGTTGGGAGAGCAGTGTATCGCGAAGTTTGGAATGTACTTCTTGAGCAACTGTGCATGTTGCGTCTGTTTTCATAGTGTCAGCTGGCTTCCTTTGGAGGAAGTCTATATCTTTCAGAGAATTATAGTTGATTGTTCTAGGAGCTTTATCATGGCTGGTGCACAAGCACACTATGTCTTACTTGCCTGGTGATCTTCTTACTTCATTGGTGTCTGGACATTTCCAATGGTGACTTATTCTTTGAATGATGGAAGAAGACAGGTGCACACTGAGCGGCCGTGAGGGCTTGCTGTATGGAGTTGGAGCGATCAGTGGCCCAAGTTATGCTTCCTACCCTTGCTTTTAGAGAATGCAGTAATCTGTGTTTAGACAAGAGCGCCATGCTCTTTATCCCGCCCAGTTCCATAGGCTGCTTCCCTGCCTCTTATCTGAACAACTCTGAGGCAAATACTAGGATGAGTCACAGCCAGCTGTCAATGGCTTTGCCAAAACTGAACAGGGAACTTGGAAGAAGGAAGAGGAGAAGAGAGAATCTGTACTCTTCTGGGGAAACTCTTGGAGACGAAGATAAATAAAGCAGAGGTTGCTGAGGGCTCTTTGCCAAATGGTATTTAACCTCACAAAATACCTGTAGAGACTCAATAGAATTTAAAGATGTCACCAGGTTGCAAGGAGTCATGACATGGTGACTTCGAATACTGCCCCTTCCCCCACGCACACATAACTAAGTAATAATGAAAGCAAATGCCCTCCAGACCTCTGTAACATCCTTAGTGTTTGTAGAAATTATGCATTAGACATAGCTTTCCAGTGGTTTTCTTTCTCTTGCCTGCCATGCGTGAGTCTTGGTGTGGTGGGTAGATAGCTATAGTCTTAGCCCTTGCTACAGTGTGGGGAGCAGCTGCTATCCTTTCTGGGCAACCCCTGTCTCCAGCGGTGAGCTGTGGGAGACTGAAATAAAAGCCATTTTCTTCCAGCAGGCAGGAGTCCCTTATGCACAGCACTGGCCTCTGCTCCAGGTTTTAGCACTGATGCATTCGCTGGCCTTGCAATGTCCATGCCCTCCCGGGGTCGGGGCACTGGCCTGTGAGCCGCCCACACAGGTCTCTCTCTTCTTCTCCCCTTCCTCCTTCCCACCTCTTAGGGGTCCACCTGGGAGCACCATGTGGACACCCAGTGACTGAGCTTGTGGACACCCATCACAAACCCAGTGTCTGTCTCTGGGTGTGTTCTCATAGAACACCTCGGGCCTGAGAGATCCCAGCCTCTTCCCTGTCTTGAGCCCACACGGCTTCCCTCTTCCCATCTGAGTCTTCACCACCCGCCTCGCCCACCCTTCTGCCCCTGTCCCCATTCACTTGTGTGTCCCGCCGTCTGTTTCCCTCCAGGATCAGTCTCGTGAAATCCCAATGCCCGTGTGTCGTCACCTAGTGCCTGTGTGCCCTCACCCAGTGCCCGTGTGTCCTCGCCCTGCCACACTTTACTTACCCTGCTCAGAGTGGCTTCTTGCTGATCTCCCAGCAAGGGTGAAGGCACAGCCCACGTGGGCGTGTGACAATGCACTTTTGAACTGGGTGAGCACGGAAGCCATCCCGTGTCGGAACGTTGATCAGGACTCACTGCTTCAGCCACTTTATATTGTTCATTTTTTAAAATTATTTTATTTGAGAGGCAGAGACACAGAGGCAAATAGACATATACACGGGGTGGGGGGTGCAGGAAAGTGTTTCTTATGTGCTGGTTCACTCCTCAAATGCCCACAATGACCTGTGGTTACGGCCAAAACCGGAGCCAGGAACTCAGTCCCGGTCTCCCATGTAGGGGACAGGGAGCTAGTCACTTGGGTCCGCTTTAGCAGGAAGCTGGAGATCGGAGCAGAGCTGAACATTGAACCAAGGCACTCGGATATGGGATGTGTCTTAACTGCTGGGCAAAATGCCTGCCCCTTCATTGTTCATTTTGATTTTTGTCCTCCTAGGAGTGCTTTTGTATTTCATTTGGATTGCACCTGTATATTGGTCTCTCCAACTTTTAAAAAACTAATAGTTCCCTTCTGTTCTAAAATTAAGCCTTTTTTGGCTCCTTGCATTGAGACAAAGTATGGATGCTTTGCCTTAGCCAGGGGATTCTTCTTGTAGCCCGCGAGTCTGTAGTTTTAAAAGAATCAGTGTGGTTGCCTTATACCAACAGATGATTGTGACTGGGGTGGAAAATTGTCTCTGCTGAGTCACAGCTGGTCCACGTTTGGCCTTCCCTTGTGGCCAGCGCTTGTTGGGTGCTTAGCAATCAAACGAGTACAAACCACAAGACAAATAGGCAAAGGGCCATAATCATTCATGCCAGCCGGGTTCCCTAGATTCACGGAAGGGCCCACTTGTTAGCACAGCAAATACCACTTCTCTGATACCCAGAAATAAAAGAGGGAAGCAGACATTGTCAGATAAAATCGCACCTTTATGGCTGAGATAAAATCAAACCTTTGGGTTTTACTGGGTTATGAATCATGGCAAATCTTAGTAATTATAAGTTGATTCACCCTGTGTTTGTGGGTTGAATTGTTTTGGACTAATATAACAGATGAAGGTGAATTTCAAGCACCGTGTGTTCTGAGAAAAATGTATCACATATTCTTTTAAATTGCCTTCAGTATACTGATAAACTCACCCAGAGTTTTAAATAGTCTCTGCCATTGGAATAGAATCAGTTTATGTAGCAGGGCTGCGTGAAGTCCAAGTTCTTGTGCACAGGATGGTGATGGTGATGGTGATGATGGTGGTGGTGGTGATGATGGTGGTGATGATGGTGGTGATGACGATGATGGTGATGATGGTGTTTGGTGATGATGGTGGTGGCGATGGTGATGATGGTGGTGATGATGGTGGTGGTAGTGATGATGGTGGTGATTATGGTGGTGGTGATGGTGATGGTGGTGGTGGTGATGGCGGTGGTGGTGATGGTGGTGATGGTGATGATGGTGGTGGTGATGGTGGTGATGGTGGTGGTGATGGTGATGATGGTGGTGGTGATGGTGGTGATGGTGGTGATGGTGATGAGGATTGTGATGATGTTAGTGGTGGTGATGCAGTGGCTTCAGCAGGGGGCTGATCATGGTGGTGCTGTAACCTGGCCCATGGTGGGTGATAACAGTGTTCTCTGTGCTCCTGGGCAAGGTCTCTTTACTTATTTGGTGTCTGTCTTGCTTTCTTAAAATGGTAATTGGCACAGTAACCCTCAGGTGGGGTCCATGCACAGCCCACTGGAAGGCTGGCCTTGGAATTCCGGAATTATGCAACCCAAATTTCCCTCATCTGACAGTTCCTTGGGCCATACCAGATAACCTTCTCAGGGTAAATTTGACCAAAATATACTCTCTCTTTGGGAGAATGGAGTTTAGACTTCCCTAAGGAGATTTCAAGTTCTTCCACTATTTTATAGTGTTTGTGCTGCAGTATTATGAAAACTCAGACAGAATTACAAAGTTTCCCCTTCTCCATGGAATC